AGCCTGCTTCTCCCTCTGACCCTCTCCTCTCTCATGCTGTTTCTCTCTCACTCGCTCTCTAATAAAATAAATAAATAAAATCTTTAAAAAAAAAAAAAAAAAGAAGCAGTGATGTGTTTTACATCTATCCCCCTGCCACCCAGGAGGTGGGCAGAATGCGAAAGGAGGTCAAATATAAAAAGCAGTATCAGGAAATTAGTTATGCCAGTAACATCGTAGTGCCAGTCTCATCACCACACAGAAAGCCACTCACCCAGTATCCAGAGTTGGCAAAAGCCCTACCTTCTGAGGGGCTCAGCCTCACTCTGCAGCAAACTGGTAATGGGGGAGACTAGGGGAAAGGTAAACCAAGAAGGTGCATGTGAACACACTAAATGTAAAGTTTGTCCTCTGATGTCTAGAATGTAGTACATTACTGGTTTTATTTTAAACTGTATTCAATGAAAAGACCCTTCTACCTGGAATTTAAAAAACAAAACAACAAAACTTTTATTAATCAACTCCTGGGTAAAATACAAACCCACATTACAGAAATGTGAAAAAATAATGAAACCTATATATCAGAACTTAAGGGCAGTCATAGCTAATCAAGTCATCAAGAAAAACAGATGGATTAAATTCTTAATGCAAAAGCAAAAAACAAAACAAAACAAAACCAACAAAAACACACGTACACACAAAACCCCCACAAGTTAACAAAGATATAACCTGAAATTAATGAGGTATAGTACTGAAAAAGGTTCAAAGCAACAAATCAAAATTCTTCATTCTTAAAAAAGAAAAAAAAAATCAACAAATATCCCTCACTTAACCTAATCAAGAAAAAAAGGGGGACACATACACACAAATGTACTGAGTAAGAAATGACAACAGGAAAAAAAAAAACCCACTGAAACTAAATTTTAAAATCATGGGTATACTCTGCATACCTCTAAGAAATCAAGATGAAATAGATAAAATGCAGTTCACCAAAACAGACCTCAACAAAAGTAGAAAGCCTTTTAAAAGATGATCAATTTCCGTATTAGAAATAAAGGTATCCAGAAACTAACCCCAAAGAAAGCACTAGAGCCAGATGGTTTCAGAGGGGAATTCTAGCAGACTTAGGCCCAGATAACCCAATGTTCCACAAACTGTGCCAGGGCACTGAAAACAAAGGAAAACTTTCTAATTTTTATAAAACAGATACTTCTGTCAATTAAGAAAAAAATACACCAGGGGCGCCTGGGTGGCTCAGTTGGTTAAGCGACTGCCTTCGGCTCGGGTCATGATTCTGGAGTCCCGGGATCGAGTCCCACATTGGGCTCCCTGCTCGGCGAGGAGCCTGCTTCTCCCTCTAACCCTCCCCCCTCTCATGCTCTCTTTATCTCATTCTCTCTCTCAAATAAATAAATAAAATCTTAAAAAAAAAGAAAAGAAAAAATACACCGAGACCAAGTGGGACTTATTCCAGGAATTTAGGATTCATTATTCATCATATTATTAGAGAATGATGATTATTAGGGAATAAATGAATATAATACGCTCAGTACACATCTAAGGGAAAATATTACAGATTTGTCCCCAAATATACCCAAGAATGAAACACGGCATTACTGTATGATCCAGCAATTCCAATTCTAGGTAGGCACCCAAAAGTACCAAAAGCAGGGACTCGAACAGGTACCTGTACACCCAGGTTCATAGCAGCAGTATTCATGGTAGCCAAACGCTGGGAGCTACCCAAGTGTCCACCAACAAATGAATGGCTAAACAAAACGTGGTGGTATATACAACAGAATACTCGTCAGTCCTAAAAAGGAATGCAATTCAGACCCATGCTACAACACGGATGAACTTGGAAAATACTATGCTGAGTAAAATAAACCAGACACAAAGGGACAAACATTGTATGATTCCACTGACATGAGGTACCTAGCAAAGTCAAAGTTCACGAAGAAAAATGGAACAGTGGTTACCAGGAATTAGGGAAGGGGGAAATGGGGAGCTCCTGTTGAATGAGCACAGAGTTTCAGTCTGGGATGATGAAAAACTTCAGCAGATGGATAGGGTGATAGTTGCACAACAACATGAATGTGCTTAATGGCACTGAACTATACACTTAAAAATGGTTACAATGGTAAATTTTGTTATGTAAATTTATAAACAAAACCAAACCACAGGAACTTTCTGGAGAGCGTGGAAACGGATCCAATTTGAGCATCAAAATAAGCAACAGCAACAGAATACTCATAAAATAAAACAAGCATCTTATAAATCTATGCTGATGTGAATAAACAAACAAATGGAGGAGAAAGGAAAACTCTGCCTTACAAAACAGAAACTCATAAACACGGAAGGAATGATGGAGCTAGAACCATTTGGCAGCCATCAAGTAATAACTCAGCAAAGAATCATCAATGGAATAGTAATAATTCTGCAAAGAAGTCACCAACTCGCAGGGGGAAAATCTGATGAGGGAAAGGGCTTTCACGTAGCTTCCAAATCTCTCTCCACAAATTACTAATTACACAGAAAACTGGTAATGGCACAATGGACCAACCTAGAGCATAAAACCTTAGAGTGATCATAATTAACATCACCAGTTGTGGGACAAGCCAACATCATGTGCCTCTTGAAAGGATATCCTGAATCTCATCATCAGAAAGCTCCACACCAACATAAATTGAAGAATATCTATATAATAACTGGCCTGTAGTTTTTTTTTTAAAAAGTCAAGACCTGAAAGGCTGAGGGACTGTTCCAGATTAAAGGAGACTAAAGAAACATGATAACTACATGTAATATGTGATGCCAGCCTGGGTCCCAGCCCAGGATGGCAAGAACAATGCCATAAAGGACATGACTGAGACAACTGACATCTTCTGAGTATCAGCAGAGCATTTCACCACCCTGACCTTCCTTGATGTTAAAAAGCATACTGTGGTTATTGAGGAGACAAACTCCTTGTTCTTAGGAAGAATATGCTGCAATCTTTGTGGAAAAGGGGTCTTGCCTGTCCACCACCTTCAAATGGTTCAGAAGAAAAAACTACGTACCTATTTATAAAGAGCATACAAATGGATAAAGCATGTGGAGCAAAACATAACAATTGGTGGATCTGGGTAATGGGACTTCTTTGTGCTATTCAAACGTCTTTACATTTACAATTATATCAAAGTAAAACAATTTTAAAACTACAAAACCAAAACTAAACCAAATAGACCAGAGCATGAACTACAATTCATCCTCTTGCCAAAGAACAATTCTTCAGTGCAACACTCTTCATAGCAACACTCTTGTTAGGAAAATTCCAAGTAAGTTAGTTAAAGGATGTCTTTCTTTTTGACTTTTTTTTTTTTTCTTTTTGACTTTTTAACAATATACTTTCAAGATCCAGAAGCCAACAGGATAGGACTTAATATCTTGCCTATCTTTAATACTACTTCAAATATAAAGAAGATATTTGAGGCTCCCTTTATGCCACTAATATTTACAAAACAAAAAAAGTTAACATTTGTTAGACTAGGGCCTCAAGGAAACTACCCAAAAAAAAAAATTCCTTCAGGTCAAAGTATCTGTCACTGACCCCAACCTATGAGGCCAGCACAAGACAAGACCCTGCCACTTTGGGGGTACACGGGCACTTGTGGAATTAGTTTCTGACCTCCAGACCCCCGACCACTCTAGATGGCTGTGGGGCTACCTCAACAACAAGAAAAGTACTGACAATCAAGATCAAGGCATAAAACAATTCACAAAGACGCAAGATCACCTTAAAATGTCGGAGAGAATCTGCAATGCTCGGAGCAAGCTCCTTATCCACCCAGCCAACCATGACGCCATCCAGCAGGACGGGGTAGCACTCGCTGTACGGTCGAGGTGGAGCTCCGTCAACCGGAGTGACCCCTGGTGAAACAAACAAACAGAACGCTCACTTCGGAATGCTTTTTCCTACAGCCAGAACTCCCTCCAGAGGGGTTCAGCAACCGCTTCATCATTTTAGACCTCTAGTTATCTTATCTCTAAACCAGTACATTTTTATATTGCTTGAGTGTTTACAGGTCATTTCAGCAAGGACACATGGGCAACTAGTGACTCTGTCTGGGGGGGAGAGCAGCTGGGGGACAAGGGTGTAAGAGAGGCTTTCCACTGTCTACCTTCTATATTTTGATCTGAACCATGTAAATAGATTAACTTTTCCCCCAAAACCTAACTACATTTGATCCTCATTATTTGTGGATTCCATACCTGTGAATTTGCCTACTTGCTGAAATGTATTTGCTTTTGTGGTCATTCCAGGACATTCAGCCAAAGCAGAGAGCGCAGCTAGAAGGTCCCCGGGAACAAAGGCTATGTCTCTGATGACATCAGGGTACAGACTAGACAACTCCTTTTTAACTGTTTTCCTGCAAAATGACACTGTTTCCTCCTTAGAGATGCAGTGGTTGAGCCATCAGATGCAAGGAGAGTGACCCCAAATGTTATTTCTGATTATTAAATGCTGAATGCTGCTTTATTTCAAACGCTTTGACATCTTTTTTTGGCGTGGGGTGGGGGGTGGTGGTGAAAGAACAAAACTACAACATTTAACTTCTTCACTCATTCTCAAAAAAAGGCACCTGACCTATAGAAGAGCCAAGAGACCAGCCCAACTCCTGCATAGAAGAGGAAACAGAATTCTTGCTGGAATTCTCTGCTCAGCCCCCAAATAAGCAAACCTTAACAATCTGCACCTGTGAAAGCGCACACCCCCAAACCAACGACTTCCAGTCACGCCCCACATACCCAGGCTGCAGAGCAAGGCGGGAACAGAGGCCGCGTGCACACGCTGTGTGACGACCTCGCACACAGCGGTCAAGTGGTTCATGAGGCCACAGGGCTCCCCGTCTGGGGTGTGCACGGGACACAGGAAGCCCCAGGACTCCGGCAGCAGCCTGCGCACCGTGGTGGTCCTCATCTTGGCAAAATCGGCCCCTCTGTGCACACAGCGGAAATGGGACAGATAGCGTATGAAGTTCAGCTTATCAGCCACAACGCAAAGGCCAGAATCTTGCAGGAAGCCAAGACCTTCATAAAACAAAAATCGTTCAGAAACAGGCTCAACTTAAAAATACAAGTCTATTTTGATTTGAGGCTCTGAGGACAAACACCTCAGAGCACAGTACAAACCGCAGAGTTACTATAAAGTTTATTAGCTCGAATGAGTGGAAAGAGTTTACAAAACTAGTAGTAAAAAGGCAGTAAAACTCCCGATTTCCCAAATTATATTAGTGCCCCTCGTTCCCTCTCTCCTCTACTACTACCTCCTTAGTGGGAAACATTAAATGAGTATGAAACAGCAAGTAACTAAATGGGATTCATCAGAGAGGGCTAGAGAATATGTAAGAAGTTGTTATTCCTAAGAACAATCTGCAACAGTACCATCTGTTTAAAAAAAAAAAACAAAGGGCGCCTGGGTGGCTCAGTTGGTTAAGCAACTGCCTTCGGCTCAGGTCATGATCCTGGAGTCCCGGGATCGAGTCCCGCATCAGGCTCCCTGCTCAGCGAGGAGCCTGCTTCTCCCTCTGACCCTCCCCCCTCTCATGTACTCTCTCTCATTCTCGCTCTCTCAAATAAATAATCTTAAAAAACAAAAAAAAATTAAAAAAAAAAAACCCAGCAGATTTCTGGGCCCTCAGTGACCACGTAGGCCTTTCTGACGCACCTGGTTTAGGGACGGGCACGTATCTACAACCCTCCCAGACTACCTGTCCCAATGACCATTCCTTACAGATTGACGCTGTCCTTAGTATTCTGGAAGGAGCCACAGAGATGCATGTGACGATGAGAAGTGTGAAGTTCTACGGATGCCTTGTCTCAAGTCCTTCAGACTGATACACACTTGTCAAATTTACAACATGAAATCAGTCTTGACTGAAAGGGACAAGTTCACTTTCAAAGAGAACCTCTCTCAGCAATATATAAATCTACACTGAGCAAATGAAATGTAACTAAAATATAGCCAATCGATTTAATTTTACCTGTTTTGGAACGCAGATTCCCAGTAGCAAGAAGATATTCAAATGGTTTTGTAAGGTCTGTTCCCAGGTTAAAAATCTTCATCAAATTTTCAGTGTTTATGGACACATTCGTCTTCTGAGCCCTCTTGTCTAGAGCTATTTTAATAGACACTAACCAAGATTCCATTTTTTCCTGAAATACAATTTAAGCCATTAAATTCAAACTATTCACATTTCATATTTACTCCCACATAATCTGTAGGTCTGCCAACAAAGGCCCACTAAGTTTATACATTTGACATGGAAAACATCTGGCCTATAAACCTGAAAACCAGCCTTTCAATGGGTGGTCATTCTTAAGACAGAAGCTACAAACACCTGTAGATCAGAGTTTCTCCACCTCGGCACTACTGACATTTTGGCTGGATAGTTCTTGGGGCCGAGCATGCGTGTAGGATGTCCAGCAGTGTCCCTGGCCCTAACCCACTGGATGCCTATAGCACCCCCCAAGCTGTGACAATCAAAACTGTCTCCAGGCACCGTCAAATGTCCCCTGGAGTGGGGCAAAATTGCTCCCAGTCAAGATTATCGACATTAATGGTTTGCTCTGGCTTTAGAAAAGTTTTTCATTAAAATGCTCTTATCAAGCAGTCAAAACAGCTTCAACAGGCAGAAACAGACAACAAAAACAAAGCTCTGAGACCAAGCAGCAGCCCGTTGTCCTAACAAAATAAGAAGAAGAAAAAACAAATAACTAAGAAGAGATCAAAGTCTCCAAATGACACCCAACATACAAGATGGCTGACAAACCAGTAGGAAAGACTGATTCTTTCTTCTTCTAGAAATCTGAAACACAATGGAAGTAAAAATAAGACAGAGACACCGGTAGCAGCTCTGTAGCCCAAGACAGGAGACTGGGGGAATGAGGAGCTGATTCTTCTCCCTTGTCACATGTCTGCCTACTGTCACTTTGTCATTAACTTGCTAAGGTGAGCAAGTAGCATTTCTTGGGCACGTACTGTATGCTGGCACTCTGCATATTTATTTAAGCCTCACAATAAACTTTTCCTCAAGAAGCAGTACATTGCAGAACCACTTGGGCCAAATGTATTTCAGTATTAAGAATTTTCCAGATTTTGGGGCACCTGGGTGGCTCAGTCGTTAAGCGTCTGCCTTTGGCTCAGGTCATGATCCCGGGGTCCTGGGATCGAGCCCCGCATTGGGCTCCCTGCTCCGCGAGAAGCCTGCTTCTCCCTCTCTCACTCCCCCTGCTTGTGTTCCCTCTCTCGCTGTCTCTGGCTCTGTCAAATAAATAAATAAAATCTTAAAAAAAAAAATTTTTTTTTCCAGACTTTAGAAAGTTAGCAAGTGCATAAACCTACACCTATTACGAAGACTGAGGCACTGACTTGTCATCAAACACATTTCTACAGTGAAACACACAAACTGTCACACTAAGTAGAATCAATAAAAATTATAAATAGCCTCCTGCAGTGCAGGTCAGGTTTTCCTGCCAACTCGCATTTTTTAGATGCTACCACTTTCGGGATTTAGAAATGCAGTTGAGTGACTGGGGACGTGTGTGTACGGGCTGTGCACGACACAGCAAGAAAAGCCAGAGCGGCCTCTTAGAAGCCCTCCTGGGAGGTTCACCAGCCTTTCCGGTGAAAGGCTGAGGCATATAAACCTGAGCACAGTGCCTAGGGTAGGAGGGGAGACACCACAAAAGATGATGAACGGGGCCCAGCCTATCTGTTCTCAAGTTCAGCAAGGGCAGCTCTGCAATCTCTCTCGCTCCCTCACCATTAAGAAGCCCTCAGAACCAAGCACAGAAATCACAGGACACCTCAATCTCTGCTGCAACACTCAGTTGAAATGGCCGATGAAGTCTGTAATTCAGATCATGTCACTGTCGTGTACCTTCCTGAAGATTCTTACTGTGTCCCACATTCAGAGGTTCAGAAGCTTTTAAAACAAAGCTGGTGTAAAAGTAAGGAGATCACACACGTTAGGACAGTTACATGTTATCATTAACGTGATGACCAAGATTTGATGTTGTCTTCACTTAGCCTCTAAGAAACATCAGGGAAATTTCTGAATTTGGTATAAACTAAGATCTTTGATTAAGTCCCTTACTGCTCAGCAAACAAACAAAAAGAAAAGGCAGACTCTGTAAAATGCCCACACTACAAATCATAAACACATAGGAAACAATACTGCGGGGAACTGCTTCACCATTCCACGAGAGGGACAGTCGGCCGGGGTGAGAGCAGTAGGCGCTTACCTTCAGAAACATGAGGAAAAGCTGACCGGGCGTGAGGACTTCTTGATTCACTAAACTATCAGGATTGTCCTCCATGCACTCTCCTTTGGCTAAAGCAAAGAGCTTCCGGGTCATGAGACAAAGCATATAAAACTTTTCAGTATTGGATTTCAAGTGGATACAGATGCACTGGCTGTCAAAAGAGAAAGCAAAGCTTAAAACAATTTAGCTGCTACCACTACTTGATGATCTACTGACCATGGTCCCCAATCCCTGTTTACTAGAAGTGCTTTACTCATTTTCAAAAAATTGCTTTTCGGGGCGCCTGGGTGGCTCAGTCGTTAAGCGACTGCCTTCAGCTCAGGTCGTGATCCCGGGGTCCTGGGATCGAGTCCTGCATCGGGCTCCTTGCTCAGCGGGGAGCCTGCTTCTCCCTCTCCCGCTCCCCCTGCTTGTGTTCCCTCTCTCGCTGTCTCTCTGTCAAATAAATAAATAAAATCTAAAAACAAACAAACAAACAAACAAAAAATTGCTTTTCATCTTCACTGGCAGCATGAGCAAAAGGATAGGACATGGCCACAAGGTCTAGAGCTGTGGACAACACGGCGTGACAAGCACCATGTGGCCACTTACATTTAAATTAATTAAAATTAAATAAACTTAAGAATTCAGTTTCTCAGTTGCACTGGCCATTCAAGGGCTCAAGATGGGACTTGTGGCTACATATTGGATGGCGTTAAGAACTATCCAGTGGTTACAGAACACAGAGTCTTTGCCTTGGGGAAAGAAAGGGACATCATGCTCACAACTTTCAAATGTTGCAGAAAAAAAAGTGTTCACGTGCAGAGAAATTAAGAAAGCAAATGTAATAAAAACGATAACAACTAGTGAATAAAAGTGTCCACTGTACTATTTTTGCAGCAATTCTGGAAGTCTGAAGTTGTTTCAAAATAAAAGTACAAAAGTACAATAAAATAAAATGAAACTGCCATAAAAAGAAAACGTAAGGATGGCCATAGAAACAGAGCTAGCCCCTACTTCCTTAGACCAGAATTCTACCTGCAGGTCCGTTCTGAGCCCCAGCGGACTCACCAGCCCTAACTACAATCAATATAAAGAACCACTGACACCTTCCGCCTGACAAAAAGCAGTTTAAGCAAAAGCACACATACTTGAACAGAAACTCTGCGGCTTGTTCATTTGGACACCAGTCAGGAAGACTGAGCTTTACTCTGAAGCGTTCACCTAGATAGTTAAGGACCTGTTTTTGTGTGGAACAACCCTCTTCCATGACGATCCTTAACATCTGAGAAACAGAGTTCCTAAAGAAAGAGTTCTCCTCTTTGCCTTTGATGAGCTCCTGAAAAATCTGATAATCGGAGAAGTTGACAAGTGCCTAGAACAGAAAAAAGTTTTCTTTTTAATTGCTTGTAATAACTAAACCATTTTACCCATTAGGTAACAATTCTCTATTTTTCTAATACTCAAAAAAATTAGCACTTCACTATTGGGGAATCGAAATGAACTCTCCGAGATAAGGCCTGGCTTGTATGATAAGAAGACGTCAAGATGGCCCCAGTGATCCTCCCCTTCTGGTACTGTATAGCCTCCTCTCACACTAAGTCAGCGCTGGCCCATGTGACCAAGACAATATGGTGAAAAAGTAGACGTGTGACTCTCAAGGACAGGTCACAGAAGGGACTGTGGGTTCAGCCTTGCTCTCTTGGCTAGCCCTCTCGGGGAAGACAGCTACCTCAAGCAGCCTGTGCAAAGGCCCACTCGGCGGAACTGGGGCCTCCTGCCAACAGCCCGCACTGACGTGCCAGCCATGAGCGACCCCCACCACCTTAGAAGTGGACCCTCCGGCCCTGGTCCAGCCTTCTGAACGACCACAGCCCCTACTGACATCTCACTGCAATCTCCTGACACCCTGAGGCAGACGTGCCCCCAATCCTAGCCACTTCCAAATTCCCGGCCACAGAAATAGTAAGAGGGAAATATTTACTGATGGTTTAAGCCACTGAAATTTGGGTAATTTGTTATGGAGCAGTGCATAGCTGGTATGCATGAACTCCGCTAACGAGACCCTATCCATCCATTCTGCACAGAATGTGACCCCCCCAGGGAAGCTCTTCATAGCAAAACAAATATATTCATGAAGTCACACCTTAAGTACAAATCCCAAAGGAAGAAAAAACAGTTCTTTCCGATAAATAAAGTTCAACATAACTGTGCCATTTTCCAAGTAGTGAAGGTTCATATTGACTGCAGAATGTTCCTCCCTCACACAGTGCATTGAGACTCCTATTGAAACAAAGCAAGAAGTCAGAAACTCAGTAATACTATAATTGCTTCCATCATTGTTTTTTTTCTGAATTATTTTTACTCTCTTAAAAATAGAGCCAAATCACCAAAGTTAGCCAAGAATGGCAACCAAAAATGTTTCCAGACCTTGCCAAATGTCCCCTAGGGTGCAAAATCTCCCTGGGTTGAAAACCTCTCAAAGTAACCAAAGCTACAGAAATTTAATCCAACTTCGAAGTTTCCTTCCCAGGGTCCATGTCTTATAACACATTATATCGCTAGCACCCTGCAGAGCCTGATCATATAGCATTTTATATCCCTCGTACCCTATGGAATCTGGTCAAGAGATGATGGCTTGATCCAAGAGTTCAAATGGAAAAAAGCAGAATTTTAGATTTTAAGCTTGTTTCAGTGTTAAACAAAAATTGCGAAGACATTCTGCATCAGTGATGCAAAAGAATAAATGACTAGCCATTTTGACTTGCTGAGATGCCATCATTCTAGATACAATATGTATGGCTATCCCATTCGAGGCTGATTTTTAGCTCAATTATTGGAATAAATTATTTAACTGCAGGGTTTCCCAAGAATGTAAAATGTTGTCTTATGAAGCCAGGCACTGTCACAGAGAGTGCTCAGAGGCCAGGTGGCTGTCAGCCAGGGACCCCAAGAGGAATGCCATGGTAGCCTGCACCAGAAGACTTCTGAGGCCCATACCTACCTCTGGTTAAGTCAGGCCAACCTCCACCTTCATAAGTAATACCATAAATACATGTGTTCTTTCAATATGGAAAAAATGATACATAATAGAAAGTAGGGTTTCCCACTATAAAATCTTAACACAGAAATGCTTACTAGAAAAAGAAACAAAACTTTTTCTAAGAGAACATTCCAAAAGTCACTACAACTTACCATACTGAGTATAGCCAGGCCCTCTGGTTTTCCATTTTGGTCTTATCATTGCAACGGGGAAATTCCTCCGAGGCATAATCAACATTCGGATGACTTTTTCAATGCCATTGATTATAAAATAACCTCCCATTTCCTGCCAAAGAGACGAATTATAATTTGTTAGACAAAGATACGTTAATTGTAAACATGAAGCTACCTGCCAGATATAGTGCAAAGTGCACAGGAGGCACATGGAGGCGAAAGGGTCTACACATCCCTCGGAAACTGTCAGCGTGTGAACTAACAGTCTTCTCAAGTGCATTAAAAAGGTTCTAGGGACTTGGGAGAAAAGTACGGAAGAAAATCAGGGTAACTTCTTCCACTGGACAGGCTCGACCTAACTTGCCCTTTTGTCCCCTAAAATGATTTGTCTTCAAATGATATTTAAAAGCAAAACAGAACAAAAAAACTTACTCTAAAGAGATGAAAACAATAGCCATTTGCTTCCAGGCAAATAAGGTTTCCCAAAAAAGTTAAAAAAACTTTGTACAAAAACTCTGGAAACCAGACATTCAGATTAGCTAAAGAGGAAACGATTTTTCATAGCTCTGGCATCACATTTCTGTAATAAATAAAAAGCTACTACACACTGCCCCACTGTGAAGCAGGCGTAAGCATGCTGGGCTGCTCTGTCTCCACCCCATTTAACCCTCATAATAACGAGTGGCACCGTTGTTATGCCCAGCAGAGGAAACGGAGGCTCAGAAAGATGGACTGTGCCCAAAGCCGCATAACTGGTAAGTGGAGCGGCGGGGTGTCAAACCCAGATCTGACACCATCACCCTCATCCCACCACGTTACACTGTCTCCCATTGCAGGCAGAGTCTGTATTCTTGATCATTTCAACTCAATACTGCAAAACCACTTAATGCAGCTAAAAGAGATGCCAAAGAGAAGGCAGGGGAAGCATTTAATACGCTCACACAATCTTACTGCTGGTAAAGCAGACATCTCTAAATGTGTATGCTACAGAAAATTTGGGAAAGTCCTATCAACGCTTCCCCCACAGTAATACTGTTCTCTAACTGGACCACCACTTTTCATACACCGTCTCCTTTGAGCCTCATTCTGAGCCCCGCACAGGATGCACACAAGGCAGCTAGCCCCATTTTCCCCATCCAGAAACGGAAGCAGAGAAAGAAAACCTGACTCCCACTGACACGTGTCGTATCTTCTCACCCCCACCTGAGGCCTTCTCTAGCGTCACCTGGCCTTGCAGTGTACTGGCCACCTGCAGTTACCTCTGCTTCCTCGTGGTGCTCAATGAGGGCTTTGGGGGGAAGGTTGTGTAAGTTGCAAAGCTTAGACTTCACCATGATGGGAACATAGCCAAGAAACTGTTTAATGATTCCTCTGGAGATTCCATTCACTGCCCAGCTGATATCAGCCTAAAGGAAAAGGAGAGAGAAAAAATACTTAAGAAAAAGAAACTATGTGGATCTACAAGAACAAGTATTTTAAAAGAGTAAGGAAGAAGGCCGTAAAGTAAATGATTTTATGCTTTAGATTTCGAAGATGGTATCTCTTTTAGATGACAGTACAAAGAAAGCAGAACCGTGGTATACACTGTATTAGGCATCAGCCTTATTCTCGCAAACATACAGTGTGAGGGTCACACGCTGTCACTTGTACTCACGGTCAGCTTGCCCCGATACGTGCTCCTCCGGCCCCGGCATTCGGCTGGATAAATGTTGAGCTCTTTGCAGATGTTCCCTTTGGGAACCATGGGTGGACTGATGACAGCATCCACGATAGTAAGAGAGATCCGCTCATCTTTGAAAGCAAATTCAAAGGGAGGGATAGCCTGAAATACAATTCACACTATGAACTGCTTGCATTTCTAAGGCCCTCTTTCTGTAAGATTCTTCCAAACCCCACACGTTCTACAAGCACTGATGCCCATCATGCCAAAGGTGATCTATCCAGGAAGATGGTTAAAGCTACACCCATTCTACTCATACCCCAAGTCCCTGAAACGATAATGCGCTACTTCAGATCTTGAGTGTCTACTACATGTCAAATTCGTAGTAGGCTCTAGGGTACAACAGTGTACAGAACAAAGCTGTTCTCTGAACCAAGTGCCTGCCTGCTCTATTATACCTGGTGTCTGCTAAATACATAGTAAGACAAATGGGACTGTGGCTAACAGGCAAGGATATGGAAACATCCTCCTGATGTAGGACCGGACACTCTAATGCCCTTCTTTGATATTTGTACATTTCATCCCCTGGTGGCCTCACACTGATGCCAGAGCCACACAGGTGGTGGCCCCGGAGGTTTTTCCCATCCCACAACAGCCGCTTCTCTGCACCACTCCCTGGGGAAGCTCTGCTGTTCTGAGTAAAGGGTATCATTGAGCTCTCGTACATATCAACTGTGAACAACCTCCTAGCCTTAGCGTTAGAATAAAAATGCCAAAAATGGAGCCAAGAGTATAAAGAAGGTTCTTCTCCTCATGTCCGTTCAGTCGACCTTTTCTAAATTTTAAAATTGTATCTAAAGCTGGTATTGTTTTAGAATGTATTATTTTATTCTAAAATGAAATTTTAATCTGTCCTATTTAAGGAAGAAGCACTAATTTTTTTTTAAAGATTTTATTTATTTATTTGACAGAAAGAGACACAGCAAGAGAGGGAACACAAGCAGGGGGGCAGTGGGAGAGGGAGAAGCAGGCTCCCCGCCGAGCAGGGAGCCCAATGTGGGGCTTGATCCCAGGACCCTGGGATCACGACCTGAACCGAAGGCAGACGCCTAACAACTGAGCCACGCAGGTGCCCTGAAGCATTAATTTTTAGAAGGGAGAAGATTCACTTTTTCAAGCCACAGGTGCACTATCTTTATCTCAATAGTCTCATTACTTGAGATAGTTATGGTCTATAATGTTGCCACAAACACTGAATTAGTGAATACTGAATCACTGTTCTTAGGGGAAATACAAAGTTAGGTTCCTGTGAGTCTCTGATCACACTTCATCAAATGATCAATACATAACCTTGTTTTAAGGATACCTTATTCAGTATATATTGGTTGTTGTTGTTTTTTTTTAAGGTTTTATTTATTTAAGACAGATACAGAGAGAGAGAGAGAGCACGAGCAGGGGAGAGGCAGAGGGAGAGGGAGAAGCAGGATCTCCTCCGAGCCAGGAGCCAGATGCAGGACTTGATCCCAGACCCCAGGATCATGACCCGAGCCGAAGGCAGACGCCCAACCATCTGAGCCACCCATGCACCCCTCAGTATATATTTTTGATTCATTCACACTGAACTCACAGCCAACAGCACTAACTCATGACTGAACAAAGGTTATCTAACACAGATTTTCTCTTAAGGAGTATGTCACAGCCTTTCTGCACTTGGAACATTAGACAGCACTTCAGCACTGTTTTTGAGGACCATCTGAAACAGTGAAATCACCAAGAAAAAGCACCAGAATGAGAAAAACTGGACAGACTTTGAAAAAGATACTTATAGTCTGAGAGCTTGAAACAAGAAAGCAGAGCATCACCTTCTTGGACCTCAGTTGGGATGAAGCACATGGGGCAATTCAAATTTTTCACCACTCTGCACATGGTAAATATTGATTTGGGGGTTACAAATAAATTTTAGTGAGTAGGCAATTCACAAATATGAATTCCTGAAAAATGAGAATCGACTGTATTCTGAAAAGATGACTGTGAGGCATCAATTTGGACTCAAAGAATGAAGGAACCCATCCCCCCGACCCCTGAATTGAGCAAACCTCTAAACAAAAATATGACAAGAGCTATTCTTCCTTCATTTACTTTACTGTGTTTTCTGTAACAACACTTTCACTTAGTCTTATGGTACCAGCTAAGCTGCAGCATCACTGTTTGTGCAGGCTATGCTTTCTACATGTACTTCAATCAAAACAATGTATCTTAAGACATAGAATACAGAAGCAGAAATGGGAATCTGGCTGTCTTCTAATAAGCCAGACATTTAAAAGATAACGCAAAAATATCATTTACGTTTAATTTTTTCTGCTTTAGAAAAGAAAGATTTTTAAACCACAGCACTAAGTTTTATCAGGGATTTCATTAAGGTTAAATCTCTAGAAATAAGGGGGGGTACAAAGCTGATGAAACCTCCTCAAAATCTCATAAAGAACCACCAGCTCCGGCTCTTTGGTGGAATTGCCCCCTTGTTCCATGTACAGATTATTATAAGGATATTGCTTTGGCCCCATGGGCTGGTAGGTGGGGTAAGTTTCCCCAACCCAAAACATGAACACCATGAAGACCACGAAACCCAAGAGGTGCTTACACATGGGATTTCAGGAAACAGGCATGAGGGATGTGTCCACAAGTTTCCTGATACACATGTCAAGGTTCCAGTGCATTGGCTCACCCAAGTTCAACCTCAGGTCTGGGTGGTTCCAGTCATACCATGGACCCCTCTCCTGCCATGAGTGGTCAGGGAGCTTCGGGTAGTTGCCACACCCTATGCTGTCATCTGACTGGTTGGTAGTCTTCCGCCCCCATATTATACTTCTTGGCGATAGTGGCCGGTTCTTGTGGGGTCTTGGGATAGGGTCCCAGGAGCACGTCCTTGGTAATGTGGGAGGCTGTCTGTGCACCCAACAACACCAGCTGCCCTTTTGCAGCCATCAGACTCCCAGGACCCACACCCTGATCGCCGCCATCTTCACCTTCCTCCCCAAAAATATTTTTATTAAAAATGTTAATATATAATTGGTTTATCTTTTAAATGAATTAGTGTTTTAAAAATTTCTCAATTTTAATTTCTAATAGAGTAAATACTGATAAACAAAAGCTGTTCAGGATCCCTCAAGAATTTTAAGAGTGGGAGAGGGTCCTGGAGCCAAAAACTTTGAGAACTGCCAGTCTATATATCACTCCTCATAAAAATTCTTATGTACAGGGGGGCGGAGCAAGATGGCGGAGGAGTAGGAGACCTGGATTTCGTCTCCTCTCAGGAATTCAGCTGGATAGGGATCAAACCATTCTGAACACCTA